GGGGTGGTGTGTGTAAAATTGTCCCTATTTGAGAACCACCAGCCTAGAGCAAAAAAAGAATGTTGGAACACAAGCACTGCTTTCAGATCAGGCTGGAGAAGAGGCATGGTACCTGATGTGACCCCTTACAGGAATGCACCAAGCAGTTGAGCCTAACCGCTCTAAGTTCTTATTTTGTTCGCTTGTTTGTGCCTTTATTAAAGTGTGTTTCCAACTACAGTGAATACTAGATTTGAAGACAGGGACTAATGAGCAAATATTTATACCCATATAGTTCACCTTTGTGCCTTAAACTTATCATGGCATAAGTATTTGTGGAGATTAGTCTCCTAACTGGGTTGGTGATAGACAGTCCAAGAGATGGACTTTGTGTGGCATCAGACGGACCTTAACTCTTGGAATCAGCGTTGGCATACCCCAACGTGGTCATCGTCTCAACCGGTGGAAAACAGTGAAGACGGCCAAGTCCGGGCTTAGCGGCCTCTGGACCCAAGTCCGGGCTTAGCGGCCTCTGGACCCGGCTTCAAGCCCTGGTCCTGTTACTTAATTATTTGATGATGTAAGTGAGTCACTTAAACTTCCAGGGCCGCCTCCTAATCCAGAATGCTGCTTCTTTTGGCATGTTCTATTTAATCTTTATTTTGGAATGACTGAAAAAGTCCCAGTGTATTTTCATCCGATGACCATTTGTGGAGCATTTGCTAGGAGGCAGACCCAGCAGTAGGACATTATCCATAGCCTGTTCTGGCATTCAGCGATCACAAAACCACTGTGCGCAATGCACCCTGAGCCGCATTTGATAGGTGAGGCGTTGATGTTCACAATGGCTAATGTGCTTTCCCAAGATCATGGGTCAGTTGGGTAGTGGGAGCCGGGAGCAGAAGTCAGTCTGTGCTTCCCATTGCTCTCTGCTGCCTCCTTGCTGTGTCACATTGGACTGTATTTGCTCTTCTGACCGATTCCCCCTCCTTTGCAGGGCCATGCTATGATAGTTGAAGCTTATCCAAAATAAAAGATCAAGAGGAGGTGAGCCGACGCTTCTGTGAACCACTCACTCTAGGCAATGCCATTTCAATGCATAAATAAATGACGCTTGTAGTTCCCGCTCCTCGTAGGAAAGCAACGTGTGTGGTCCTCTGCCGAATGTCTTCAGTTAAGCCTTGCCAGTGTCAGAGCTTTTCAGTACTCATGGCTTACTGCTCTTTCAGGGATTTTTCAGTCACCAGATTGACACGTTGGGTTTGTTTTTTATTTCTGTCACTGTTTTTCATTAAACACTATGTCAGTGGTTGCAGTATGGGAAATCTGTTAGCTAAAATTTGCAATTCTTCTTATTTGTGTCCTGAAGCTAAGTGTTTTCTACAAAATACAAGCCAATGTGCCTAAATTACAGACAGAATCGAAACCACACCAAAAACTAAGTCAATGTTTAAACACATAAATGGCATCTCGGCCAACCTGAATAAAATGGAGAGTGATTACAGGACTCCTGGCTTTATTTTTCACTGGAAGGGAAGAGAGGGCTCTCTTTGACTCCGGGGAGCGCACTGTTGCTCGCTCCTGACTGCTCCGGCCAACCACAGGGCTGTGGGGCGCAAAGATGGAGCAGCCCCGCCCCACCTACTGCTGTGCGCTTGCTGCATCTTTTGGAGATGCTTCTGTTTACCAGACTTAATCAGAATGTGATGAAGAGTTTTTTATTTTGATTGACTTACTGTAAACCCTCTCAGTTTTCTGCCAACCAAACTGGACCAAATATGTAGGCCGGTGCCTAAAGGCTCCTTGTGGCCACTGTGTGAATGTTGCGGCTGATCTCTGAACGTTAGCAGAGGGCCGCAGCGCCCTCCAGCAGGTTGGACAAAGACAGGTTGGGCAAGAGACCTAATGGCATCCTCTTACCAAGATCCGCAAGAGCCCCATGCCCTTTCCCCCAGGTGCCACTGGAAATGCCGGCATAATGAATTCGTACCACCGAAGAACACCGGATGAGTGTGCTCATGTTTCACAGACATGGATTTTAGATGAACCAAGTTAAATGAAAAAGGTTAAAAAAATAAATGACACTTAACTTTCAGGGAAAATACCACTATGACCTTAGGTTTAAAGGAGATTATTTTAAAGGGTATTAAAGTGCTCACCATAAAATAAAAAGATTTATAATAACTGCTAAAAACTTTTGTTCTTTACATTGTACAGAGTGGAAAGACAGTCCTAAATGAGGTAAAGGTAGCTGTAATCGCATTTTACAAGGGATCCAGGATATATACAAATAAAAAAATGCTTAGTTATGTAAAAATAAAAGATCATAAAAACGAACTAATAAAAAAAAGATAACCCAGCATATTGTTTTATTGGGGTCTCATGCAACTCATCACAATCTACACATACATCAATTGTGTAAAGCACATTTGTACATTCATTGCCCTCATCCTCAAAACATTTGCTCTCCACGTAAGCCTCTGGCATCAGCTCCTCATTTTTCTCCTCCCTCCCCACTCCCCACTCCTTCATGAACCTTTGATAATTTATAAATTATTTTGTCATATCTCTTTTTTTAACTAGGCATTTTTAAGATACACAACAAAAGGGTAATCAAGACAACCCAAATTTAGACCATAATGAGAGACTTTTTACTGGGCAGCCTGGCAAACGTGAGCAAGACCAAGAAGATGGAATCTCGGTGCGGAGGGGCTGCAATGGGAACATTTGCCCAGGGCTGATGGGAATGCAAAGGAGTACACTCATTCTGGAAAACCTGCGAGCAGGATCTTACTCCTTACTCATGAATGTGGTCTGGGGCCCAGCCTTTCCACTCCAGGCCTTTTCCCTAAGGAGACACTTCCACACGAGTACCAGGAAACAGGTGTTCACAGCAGTGCCTCTCCGAATAGCAAAATAACCGCCCATCACTAGCGTCCGTGGACCCGAAAGACTCAATCAGGCAAACCAAGTACAATGGTAAGATACCTGCAAGTGGAAGGTGAGGGTTTCCTAAAAGAGTTAAAGGGGGGGGGGAAACGGAAAACCTCATGCAAACAAAAAGTTTGGGGAAGGGAGGAGAGGAGAAACAAATCTTTAAGAAGTTAAAATTATATATGCAGAGACTCCCTCCTCTCTTTGAGTGTGAGCTGGACTTAGTGACCCCTCCCGTGGACAGTCTGGAAAAAGAAAAACAGCAACTTGACAGGGACGAGCTGGTGAACACTGCCTTCCGCAAGTCATCAAGGTGACCACAGGGCCTCGTTTTGAAAAATTACTGGTTTTTAAACAACCCACATACACAATTAAGTAGTTCAGTACCATCTACCTCTTGATGTGGGATGTGAAGGACCCGTCAGCCCTGTGGTGTTCTCTCCAGGTGCTCACAACCCAGGCAGGGCCACGTGGCTGAACATGCTATAAAACACATGACTAGTTCTCAAAGTTATAAGGTCATAAAAGAAAAACCATGGAAAATAGAAACTCACAGACCAGAGGAGGGTAACAGACCTGAGAACTAAATGTAGTGTGTCCTGAGCATGCTGGATAGAGATAGAGGGAATCTACTTTCTAAGGCAATCTGCCTGAGGGCAAGATGATCTACATCCCTGGGTAATGATCAGAAGTCATTCGGTGGAGGCTTAATCCCCATGGGGACTCCACCAGTGGATTTTGGGCTGTCACTGCCCTTCATAGCCTTCTGCAAACTGGGGTGCCAATAGTTTAATGACACGATATTAACATATTTCACCATGCACCTCTTGTTTGTCCTCACTTTTAAGATATAAACACATTTGTGTTGGTCCAGGTAGCCTAGAGAAACAAATACAGAGACATATACATATGTGTATAAGAAAGCTTTATATACAAGAGAAATTGGATATTGAGAAAACAGCCCAGTCCAGATCAAGTCCATAAGTCCAATATTAGCCCATATGTCAGATATCAATCTATAGAGTCCTCTTCAGACTCATGAAACACATGCAATGATGCCGAATGCAGGAAGTTCACAGCCCAATGGGTGAAAAGTCTTGTGGATCCAGTGGTGGTGGAAGCATCTCAGCACTGGCAGGGTTCTCCATGTGACTCCTCCAGCTCCAGAGCTCCAGCTCTATGGGTGTAACTCCATGTGGCTTAGCAACAGGAATGTCTCTCTGGAGATAAGCAGAAAGAGTGTGTCTATTTGGCCTCCAGTGAGATATTTATCTCCATCGCACCTCCAAATGAGGTAATCAAGCTGCGACCTGATTGACAGGCTAAACTCCACCCCTTCACAAGTTGACAGGAGATTATGTAACTGCCACAATATTGTAATGTCCACCCTTTTGCATGAACTTCGTTACCTGGTGCTGCTAGAGCAGAAGTACTACGTGGGGATGACTTCGGCAAACAAATTTATTTTCTTACTGTTTAGGGAGCTAGAAGTGCAAGTTTTCCAGCTTTAGGGGAAGGATAGCATGGTTGACATCAGTTGGATTGTGACTGAAAGCAGAGATTACCAGAAATGTGTTCACTCGTGTCTCGTGGACTAGGCATTTGGCTGTGGGGACCATACCCAACTCTGGATAGCCTGGAGTAGAGAGAATTCCCCAACACTGTACTGTGTCCTTTTGGAACCTATCCATAGATTGGATCAAGAGGCAGTTGTAGGAACAGAACAAGGGCATACTGCATGGCATAAAATCCAGAAAGAAAATGTCTCCCAGAATGCTAGCTTGCTTTTTCTCAGATGGAATGTCAACAGACGTGTTGGTAGTGGTTGTTTATGGAAACAAATGGCACACTTACCTAACAGACAGTCTTTGTGTATAATTCATGAATGCATTTCATTAGAAGCATTTTGAAGTTTCTGCCCTAAAGCTGCAAGATCAGTCTCCGGTATGATCACTTATACTTCTTGTCCTTTTGAGCTGTAGAGAATGAATATGCACTGTCACCACAGAATGGGTGGGTCCAAAAGCTCATTGGGGTTCTGGTCATTGGAACCAGGGTGAAAGTATGGAGATCAGGGCCATACAGACAGAGGGTGCGAGATTGGATTGCGGGTGAGATCTCAGGATCTCGGCGCTATGAAGCACACCTTTCCCGCTGGGGTGACATGTAGGTTGAGGGAGGGGGCATCTTGAGTCTCCCACCTTGGCTTCTGGATGGATAGTCACCTCTTGGGCTAATTCTAAATCGGTTGGGTGGTAAATGATGGCGTTCAGTCTGTTGAATTTAATCAGGATTTGATTGACTGGAAAGTTTGAGCTCAAGAACTGTTAGTTTACTGCTCACCCTGCGATGCAATGCTGAAGAACCGACTCAAATCTAGAGAGCTGCTCCTGGGAGCTCTCGACAGCTGGATCGGTCCCGGATTCTCATCCAAGGCTGGAGACAGTCAGGGGGTGCCCCTGAGAACGAGGCTATTTGGGAGGACTGGCAGGCCAATTTTGCAGGACCATTTGAGGGGTGCAGGGGACCCAGGCTGATGCCACTCCCCCACAGCTAAGACAATAACCATTCTTTGCATGCCCCTTCTAAGGTTGGAGATGATTATTGTAAGCCAGGCTAAATCAGGCCAGGCCCTGCCATTTGTGCATTTAAAGATGTGAGCCCCTGGGGCAGCATTTCAAACTGGCATTAGGATCACATGGGCAGAACTCAAGCTTCTCGGCATGATCACGTGAGGAACAGCCATTGAGATGCTTGGATCTTGCTGAATTAAACGGTTGGTTATCAGTGTCTTCATCCTCAGTGGTGGTGGTGGCGGCCCTTCAGCATCTCATTGACCCACATGAGGACGGAACCGCTCTGTCCCCACCCTCGTCGCTAGAGACCACTGAACACAGCTTTTTTACTTCCTATTGACATCCCAATTTACCTTGTGCTGTATTTTCTATCTCACTTTTGCAAAGACTTTTAAAACAGATAAACCAGCCCCATCAACTTGTTTCTTTCTCCAGTGCCCTGTATCTGTAATGCAATACTTACTAGCGGTCACTCGCAGTAAGTCTAATGGAAGTGGTGGCCTGTGGCTTGCATTGACCTGACCTCTAGAAGGCCATTAAGGATGCAAACCAGAATGCCAGCCGGGCAAACCCCCTCGCTGCTTTGCAGGAGAAAAATGTGACAAATGTGCCTTAAAGATTGCAAACTCCATGGGACATTTCTGCTTTGTTGTACCAGGTAGCTCTTGAGTCCAAGTTTGACTCTGGTTGTGGGCTTCGTTTGGGTCTTTGGTCTCCATTAGTAAAGAAACACACAGTGCTACTAGAGCAGCGGTTCTCAACCTGTGGGTCGCAACCCCTTTGGGGTTGGACGACCCTTTCACAGGGGTTGCCTAAGACCATTTGGAAAACACATGTTTCTGATGGTCTTAGGAACTGAGACACCACTCCTCTATCCGTCTCCAGGTGGGTCCACCCACATGCGGATATGCCCACATACGAGTACCCGGCGTGAAGATCACCATGCTACACTATGCTTCAAGATAAAATTTCATTTATTTGTCATTAGAAATGTTTC